GTTTTGCCTGTTGTAGACAGTGGTTCCACCATCAGTTCAATGCTCAAAGTTTGCTTTGGGTATACCTCCCCCAAAAAATGCATCTCAGAGGTTAGTCTAAGATGTGGGTAGCAGTTTAAATCTTACTTTAAACCACTTTAACCTGGCTCATATATTCCAAACTTGGGATAATATGTCCTGAAAATTCAGGACATATGCAGGTTTTATATTGAATAAAGGGCTTCCCCTTCTCCAGCTTGCCTCCAGCCCGGTTCTCATGCTATCCCCCAGGGTTCCATTAACCAGACTTCTCTGACTACGAAAAGTCATTTTAATGTATTTTAACTTTAACAGGAGAATCGCTATGGTTCAATATTTTTTAATTCAAAGTATACTTATAAAATGAGGCATATTAAATTTTATATATTTTTTTTGGTCGGGGGTGGGGGGCATGCCCAGCGATGTTCAAGGCTTACTCCTGGTTTGCACTCAGAGGATCAATCCTGGAGTTGCTGGGGGACCATATAGGAGTTAGGAATTGAACCCAGGAGTTAGGAATTGAACTCAGTTGTGTGCAAGGCAATGCCCTATTTGCTGAATTGATCTCTCCAGTCCCAAGATGATGAGACATAGTCATCATCTTTTAGCTGCCAGGACCAGAAGGAAAAATATAGCCCTCCTGGGGATGGAAAAAGGGTACAGAAGCAAAGGCATATGGTCTACAACGGTTTGAATCCTAGCACCACATATGGTCCCCCGAGCACTGCCAGGTGTGGCTCTGACATAGAGTTGCTCCTGAGCACAGAGCCAGGTATGGTGAGAAAAATAGAAAGCATCTAAAAGGTCAGATAAACCTCAAACTTCTCAAAAAGGGAAAAAAGGGTGTTGGCAAAGCTGTGGAGAAACAGGAACCTCAATTAATATTGGTGGGAATGTAAACTGGTCCCATTTCTGTGGAAAACAGTATGAAGAACTTTTAAAGATTTTTAAATAGAACTAGCATTTGATCTAGCAGTCACTCCAAGAGAACAGAAACATTAATTCAGAAAGAAATAGGTACACCTCGGGGCTGAAGCGACAGTACAGTGGGTAGATAGGGCATTTGCCTTGTACGCTGCCAACCAGGGTTTGATTCCCAGCATCCCATATGGTCTCCCAAATACCTTCAGGAGTAATTCCTGAATGCATGAGCTGGGAGTAACCCCTGTGCATCACCAGGTGTGACCCAACAAGAAAAAAAAAATAGGCACACCTATGTTTACCATAGCACTATATACAAAAACCAAAATAAAATTAAAAAACAAAAACAAAAAAACCTAAGTGTCCAACAGCAGATAAATAGATGATGATGAAAATGTGGTGTATACATAATGGAATACTACTCAGCCATAAGAAAAATAAAATTTTGTTTCTGCAGCAATATGGATAGATGAAAGGGGATCAAGTGAAATAAGTTAGATGTAGAAATACAAGCGTCAGATGAGATGAGTCATATGAAGGACATTGAAAAGCAAATCACAGGAACAGACTAAACTAATGGAAATAAACCCGTGGACTTAAACTGAAGAGCTGTGATCAGCAGGGATGGTGGAGGAGGGGACAGAGGTGAGAGTCCTAGTAGGGTACTAGTCCTTCATGGAGGTTGTGGTTTGGTGGCATTTATGTGAATAGATATGAAACTAAGCGACAGCACAGAAGGTAGAGTGTTTGCCTTGCATGCAGCCAACACGCAGCCATCCCTCTCAGAGAGCCCAGCAAGCAACCGAGTATCCCGCCCGCACAGCAGAGTCTGGCAAGCAACCCATGGCGTATTCAATATGCCAAAAAGAGTAACAAGTCTCACAATGGAGACGTTACTGGTGCCTGCTCAGCAAATCAATGAACAACAGGAGGACAGTGCTACAGTGCTACCCCTAAAACATATGATAAGGGGCAGGAAAGACAGAACAGCAGGCGAGGCAACAAGTTCCCAAGCACAGCTAGGAGTGATTCCTGAGCACAAAGTCTAGAATAAGCCCCGAGAAACACTGGGTATGGCTCAGAAAACAAAAATAAAATACGTAATCATGCAAACTGATGTTATTTCAATAAAAAATAAATCATGAAAAATATGAATGTGGGGGCTGGAGCGATAGCATGGCAGGTAGGTTGTTTGCCTTGCACACAGTGAACCCAGGTTCCATTTCCAGCATCCCTTGAGATTTCCTGAGCACCTCCAGGAGTAATTCCTAACTGCAGAGCCAGGAGTAACCCTGTGCATCACCGGGTCACTGTCACTGTCCTCCCGTTGTTCATCGATTTGCTTGAGCGGGCCCAGTAACATCTCCATTTTGAGACTTATTGTTACTATTTTTGGCATATTGAATACGTCGCAGGTAGCTTGCCAGGCTTTGCCGTGCAGCGAGATACTCTTGGTAGTTTGCTGGGCTCTATGAGTGGGGTGGAGGAATCAAACCCAGCTCCACCAGGCTGGCTGCACACAAGGCAAACGCCCTCCTGCTGTGCCAGCACTCCAGCCCACATCACCAGATGTGACCTTTAAAGCCCCCCCCCCCAAAAAAGATGAATGCCAAGTAAGATTTCGATTAGACTGGACACACACACTCCCAAATCATTATGCTTTGATCTAATTTTTAAAATGTTCTGTTCTGATCTGATAATAAAGCAAAATGAACACAAATGATGATAAAGACAAGTGAAACAACTAAAGTTCTCAGTTGTATCAACACAGCCTTAGTGAAGGGAAATAAAAATAATTAGGACTTCTTTCTTTAGAAAGATAAAATGAATTGGGGAATACAACAAACTTCAATGAAATCATACAAATTATAGAGTGAGTCCAGATACACAAATTAATCTAAATCCCAAATATTCAGACAACAATGTGTACCTGGAAACTTTCTGTTTTATACAGAAAATATTAAAGCATGGTAAAAAATAAAAGTTTAGCAAGTAAGTCTTTAATGGAACATATTTAAATTAAATCATGTATAGTGACACATAATGGTGAATCAAGAAAAGTAAAGAAACTTCAGCTACACCAGTAATGTCTTTTGCATCATTAAAAACAAACGTCTATCAGGACAGAAGCAATAGTACACAAAGGGTAGGGTGTTTGCTTGCATGAGGCCAACCCGAGTTCGATCCCTGGCATTCCATGTGGGTTCTCCCAAGGGCTTCCAGGAATACTACCTGACTGCAGGGCCAGGAATAACCCCTGAGCATCACCAGGTATGATCTAAATGCAAACAACAACAATAGCAACAACAACAAAAAAAAACTTTGCGTTAATAATGTTAATATTGCACATTATGGGATGAACCACAGACATTACTTAATAGGACTTTTCTTATACATATCCTTGTTCTACTTGTCTACCTGTTTATTTTAAATCTTGGAAGTCTTACAGGTTATAGGTGGTCAGAAACTAGAATAGCATCTATAAGTCTTCACTTATTCTCTATCACAGAATTTTAACAGATTAGCAAAAAATATATTTTTAAGATTTAGATTAAAATACTATGATCACCCAAATGACATTAAAAGCACAATACAATCTAGAAGACTGAAGTTTTACCCCATTTTATTGAGGAATAACTGATTCTGAGATTTTTGAGATATTTAAAGTATACAACATAATGATTTTATATATTGACACACTGTAAGTACATTTACACACTGTAAGTACATTTCCCCATATAGCTAATGTACATCTGGTACATTGTATATTTACTTTTAAATGAGAGCACATAAATACTTCTATTAGCAAATCTAAATTATGAGACACAGTATCAGTTATAATTACCATGCTACTAAGTCCTTAGACCTTATCCATAATAATTTGTTTGTTCTGACTTAAATTGTTTTGAAGACTAAGATCTAACAGAATTACTGTACTTACTTTAATCACTTAATCACTTAACTTCCCGTTAGTCGTCGATTTTCTCGAGCGGGTGCCAGTAACGTCTCCATTTGTCCCTGTCGCGTGCTAGTGTAGCCCAATGGCATCTGTTCGCTTTGGGAACATTAAGAGCCTTAAACCGATGGTTCATGATCTTCACGAAGAAGTCTGACCATCTGGTAGGTGGGCGGCCACGTGGTCTTTTGACATCCCGTGGAATCCAGTCAGTAACAGCTCTAGTCCAGCGGTTGTCTTTAAATCTCATTACGTGACCAGCCCATCTGATTTTTGACACCTTGGCAAATGAGACAGCATCCCTGATTCTTGATCGTTGACGGATGTCGGAACTCCGGATTTTTTCTCTCATTTGAGTGAAACGTGATATTCCAAGCATAGCTCTTTCTATTCTTCTTTGGGAGACCTGAATAGCATTCTCATCCTGTTTGAATAGGGCCCAGGTCTCTGAGGCATAAGTTAATGCAGGAAGAACAGTGGAATCAAAGAGATGTGCCCGGAGCCGGAGGTTCTTCGTCGTCTTAGCTATTTCTTCGACGTTCTTGAAGGCGTTCCAAGCCGCTCTCTTCCTCCTGTGCAGCTCGGGTGCCAGGTCATTTGTCATGTTGACTTCTCGACCTAGGTACACATAGCTGTTGCATTCGGAGATGGTCGTTCCGTTGAGAGTGAATGGGGCATCAGGAATGAGGCTGTTTCTCATAAACATTGTCTTCGTAAGATTCAGCTGTAGTCCTACCTTTCCACACTCACGGTCAAAGTCGGCCAGCATTTGTGCCGCTTGGCTGATGTTTAACTTATTTTAATGTACTGAAAACAGTCCCCCAAAGTTTCTACTCTAGAAATATAATCCAAATATAAAGAGAGAAGAAAATAAATCTAGCATTATCACCTCATCTTCACTGAACTTTGACAAAACAGGGTATATCTTAAAGGACTATTTTTTCTACTTGCCTGTTTCATGTTTTAAGGTAACAATAAGCTCTATGGTTATCACAAAAAATAACTTGTTATATAGATATACTTTACTTAGGCAAACAAAACAATTTTCACTTGTAGATACATCTCCATACAGGAAAAATAACATAAACATAATAAATATACCTACTCCTTTTGGAAAGCCATACATAATGGAGAAGTATATCCAAAAATGAGACACATCTGGGCACTAGGACAGTACCCGCACTGGAGCAGTTTCTTTAAACATTCTTTATGCCCTCCAAACACTGCTGAGTAAACAGGACTCACTTTGTCTGGGCCAGTGTCGCAGATCCGGTTAGTAAGTGGTATTAGCAAGTCCAAGATTCTGCAAGTAGAAAAATTCAGGAAGAATTAAAGTACATGTGAAAAGTCAGCATTCTTTCTACAGCATGAACCACTGATAAGATTTTTAAAAATAACCTCTGCATTCAGTGTACGTCTACTGCCATTAAATTATTTCTAGCTACCGACCTTCTTTAGAATTTTGTATTACTGCTAATATGAAAATCTTTAATTATATTTGAAACAGGATTAATGTTCATTCAAATAAACAGGCAATACTTTTTTATTATTTACCCTACTAGCCTATTCCCTCAAATTTAAACATTATGTCAGATACTTCAGTATCTCAAAATTATTTAAATTCATTATAATAAATGTAAACTTATGGGGCTGGAGAAATAGATAGAATAGCTGGTAAGTTTGCCTTGCAACAGCTGAACTGAGGTTGATCCCCAGCATCCCCAAGCACTGCCCTGAGCACTGTCAGGTGGGGCCCCAAAACAAAACAAATATACATATACATATCTTATATATCAGACATATATAATCGTATAACAAAATAATTACTATTTTACTATTTTCTGAGGAGCATGGCAACAAGAGCCAGAGCAAATAAGATCTGTCCCTGCATAACAGATAAGAGCTGTACCTGCAGAGCGACCCAGCAGAAATGTCTGGGCTCATTTGATAAGCACCAGGGATCTGATCTTGAGTCTCACCCAAACCCCAAGAATTGTCACCTACGCTTAGCGAGTCATTTCTAACTGCAGCATCTAGCACTAATTGGAATTGGACCAGGGCAAAGCAGAGTTGGAAAGGTCAGTAATGCTAAACTTCATGTGATTGGACCATCCTCTTAAGTCACCCGCGATGTGTTCAATATGCCAAACACAGTAACAACAAAATCTCCAATGGAGATGTTACTGGGCCCGCTCGAGCAAATCGATGCACAATGGGAGGGCCTTTATCCTTTATCCTCTTAAGCCGAGGCCCGCTATGAAGTATGTGTGTATTTGGCAATAGAGTGAGCAGCCATCAGCTGTCTCCTGGAGTGGTTTCTCCACGGGCCTGGCATCCTTCGCCCCACGTCTGCCCCGGACCCAGTGCGCAACATGTCTGGGCACTTTGGGGAAAAACTGTTCCCCAACAATTTTCCTTCTTTCATTCTCTTCTAAATAAAAGAACCTTAATTATTATTTTTAACTAGTACATTTTTCTAAGATAATGAGCGACATGACATCTCTTCGATCAGGAAAAGATGTGAATTTCTGCTAAAATATTCTATTCTCAGAAAGGGCAATATTTTAGACTCTCAGGATGATTTATAAGGAAATTGATAGCTAAGTAAGAAAAACTGTAAAGAAAATCATCTCAATTAATTCTTAGATAATTTTCAAACTGACCTTTGGTCATCAGCTGAAAACAAATCTAATCTGCACTTCTAAAATTAAAAATAAAACTACAGGGATAAAGTAAACCAGGAAATCCTTCCTATTTCTTGGAAAAGTAGCAGGATATGCCAACTCTCCCTTTAACATCCTTTCTCTTTACTACTCTCCCTTATGTACAGAAGTATAATATTTAAGGAGAATTTATATTCATAGGGGTTTACTTAGCTTGTGGTGTATAAAGGAAACATCAGTGAAAATCTCAAGACAGTGTAACACGCTGGAGTGTCAGTGCAGCAGGTAAAGCCCTTGTGTTGCATGCAGCCAGCTGGAGTTTAATCCCTACCACCCTTGGGTCCCCCAAGCACAGCCAGGTGTAAGTCTTAAGCACAGGCAGCTGTGGTCCAAAAACAAAACAAACCCCCCCAAAAAAAAAAACTCAGTACCACTAAGGACAAGAGGGTTTTTATTAGCAATTTAAAATTCAGAATATAATTATAAGTAAAATTTATTCCAAATAAAGTATCACAAAGAAAGAAACATTAAAATTTAAAGCCCAGGAATTCTGTTCAAGTACTCAAATAATCTGCTTAAATTCTCTTAAATTTAATGATTCAAATTTTTTTATTTGTTGAAAAATTATACTCTTCCACAAGGCACACACATGCTTATAAATATCTTCCTTTGGCTGTTGTTTTTCCATTTGGGGGCCACATGCATCTGTGCTCAGGGTTAACACAGAACATCCTGTTCTGTGTTAGGGTAACATTTCTGGCTATTTAAAAGAACCACAAGCACTGCCTGGGATAAAACCAAGGCAAGACAAGCATCTTAACTCCTGTAGTCTCCCTCCAATCCCCAAATATTTGTTTTAAATTTTTTTATTTTATTAAAAAAACTAGGATTTTAAAAATTATTGATAGCTTCGCTTTAGGCATGTAATATTTCAGCACCAAACACACCACACGATAAATATCTTTAAGGAAATAGTAATAAAATAGCAGGCCATCTAGTGACATAATACTTACACTGCAGAATGTTTTCCTACTAAACTTGATGACTTCACCGATAAATGAAAACATTTCATTTTTTAAATTAATTATTAATATGCATGAGCATGCAAAAATTATTATAGTATAACTAAGACTTCTAATACAAAAAACATGTATTTTAAGTAGCTGTTCAGGAGCAATTTGTCAAAATATGTTAAAATTAAGAATAGGGTTATCAGATTCAAGAATTCCCTTCCTCCCTTACTAAACTTTCTCCTCACTGCCCCCTCTCCCTGTCTTCATCTCTGTCTCTTTCTCTCTCTCACTCTCTCAAATAGCAAAACTTAGAGATTTCTGGTCACAGAAGAATTATAATAGAAGCATTGACAAGTACTGGGTTGGACTGGAGATAAAGAGACGTCCAACCAGTCCAACCAAAGGGTTAGACACAGGGATTCCCGAACCCATACCAAAGACGGACCTCTAGCAAGGTCACAGTGTCAGAAGACTCCCAGGGTAGCAAATTTGAATACAATGAATGAACCCATCAGATCTAGACTACAGATACCCAGGATAAACTGGAGGAAAAGTGGAGAAGCATGGCCTTTTTTTGATTGAAAAGTCAAAGAAAGACTTACCTCCTGAAAAAAGCCCGGCCTTCTTTTGTCTCTGTGGAACAATTAGTGGGGAGGTGGATCTAGGTACTGAGCAAACTGACCCAGCAAACTAGTGAAGAAAGAACTAGTTAGGGTTTGGCCCTGAGACATCAAGGCCTGTCCCAGAGGTTTACTGATTTCCTTTTAAGCACGAGACCGTCTTTAACTCCTGTTTAACACTTACTGTGCATGGCCCATCTGCACAGCTGCGTGAATAGGTAACTGCCAGTTGTCCTCATTACAGTAAAGATATGGGTCAGCCCTACTGGACAACAAATGCGCTACACAGCTCGTGTGACCCTCCTGAGTAGCAATGAACAAGGGAATCGCTTTGTCCAAGGCCTGGCAGTTGACATTCGCACCTAACACAGAATGAAATATTTAACAGATAATTCTCTTTTAAGCACAAAGATATAACTATCATAAATATCAAAGCAGTTATGATAAAAAGGGTTTCATAATACAATATTTTCTCTTCTGAGTGGATTTTTTTATGTAAACATTGATCCTCCTCACTTGATTTTGTTTGTCTTTGCTTTCAAGTCAGCAAGAAACAAGTGATTACTAATTTCAGAATTCATTTTTAACTAAAACAAAAATCTTAGTCATTGGAATAATTATATTCCAGTCCTTCCTCCAACAAGGACTATGTGGGCCTGGGTAATCAATTAAATATGGTAAGTGCAGGGACAGGAGAGATAACTCAAGGACTAGCTTGTGCACGTGTGCTTTCCAGAAAGCCCAGGCTCAAGCTCTGACAACACAGCATCCCTGATCACCACCACTAAGACTGAAAGGGAGAAAGGGAAGGAGGGAGGGAAGAGGGGGAGGGAGGGAGGGAGAGAGGGAGAAAAAAAGGGAGGGGGAGGGGTAAGGGAGGAGGGAGGAAGGAAGGAGGGAGAAGTGAAGGGGAGATCAAACTCATGTTAAAGGTAAAGGTAAAGGCGCTCCCGCTGATCGTCGATTTGCTCGAGCGGGCCCAGTAACGTCTCCATTGGAGACTTTGTTGTTACTGTGTCTGGCATATCAAATACTCTCGGTAGCTTGCCGGGCTCTCTGAGAGGGGCGGAGGAATCGAACTCGGGTCAGCCATGTTGGCCGCTTGTAAGGCGAACGCCCTACCCGCTGTGCTATCGCTCCAGCAAACTCATGTTAGGTGCAAGAAAAGCAAAAGCCCTACCCACTGTACTAACTCTCTAGCCCCCAAGGAGAAAGAACGTGTACTGACAATAAAATTCTATAAATGCACTTTGAATAAGCTAGACTCTAGAAAAGGGTAAAAACTAAGCAAAACACAAATTATAAGTTAAAGATTTTATGGAACCTGAAACTGGAGAGATAGTCCAACATGCAAGGTGCTTGCATTAAATAAGGCTAATCCAGGCTCATACCCCAGCACCCCATATGGTTCCCTGAGCACTACCAGGAATGATTCCTGAGTGCAGAGCTGAGAGTAAACCCTGAGCACTGCAAGGTGTGGCCGAAAATAAAACCAAAACAAAGGGGGTAGGGCTGTGGAACCTTAAGAAATTCTAACTAGATTTCAACATGTCTACATACATATCTGCTTGACATACGCAAGGTGGATGCTTCACCTATTACCACTTTCAGAAAGACTAAATCAAGAAAGAAAACCACTTATCTTTCTTTAAGCCTGCTCATTTTTGACTGACAATTTCAAAATATCAGAAAGAATAGGAAGCAGGCCTGTAGGATTACAGGTTGGAAAGATGGGAAAATGACAGATAATTCACTGAAAGGAAAGTCATTTTAAGGAGCCAGAAACATACAGAGTCACATTATGACCGAATTACATCATCTTTTCAATTTAATGTAACTACTCAGGGAGGAGAAAAGAAAAAAAGAACTTTTTGCACAAGCAAAACAAAACAGGTATTTAGTACTCCAGGAGAGCAGCCAAGAAGAGAGCCATTAGGGGCAATTCAACCTGTTTATTCAGAGTATTGTCACACACTAATATCTGGAACTTGTGGAACCAGAAGATATTAGCCTGAGATTGTTAATAATACTAATAATAATAGCACTGTCCTCCCATTGTTCATTGATTTGCTCAAGCGGGCGCCAGTAAAGTCTCCATTGTGAGACTTACTACTGGTTTTTGGCATATTGAATACACAACAGCGAGCTTGCCAGGTTCTGCCATGTGGGCGGAATACTCTTGGTAGCTTGTAGTAGTAATAATAATATAATAATAAAGTAATAATATAGTAATATTATCAATACTATACTAATAATATAGTAATATCACTTGATCACATGACATTCCATTATTCATCAATTTGCTTGAGCAGCACCAGTAACGTCTCCATTCTTCCTGTCGTGTGCTAGTGTAGCTCAATGAAATCTGCTCGCTCCATCTACACCAAGAGCCTTTATCAGGGTCTTGACAAAGAAGTCTGACAATCTCGTTGGTGGGTGGCCATGCGATCTTTTGATTTCCTGTGGAATCCAGTCAGTAACGGCTCTAGTCCAGCAGTCATCTCCAAATCGCATTACGTGTCCAGCCCATCTGATTTTCGATTCCTTGGCAAAGGATACAGCGTCCCTGATTTTCGATCATTGACAGAGGTCGGAACTCTGGATTCTTTCTCTCACTTAAGTGAAGCATGATACTCGAAGCACAGCTCTTTTGATTCCTCTTTGGGTGACCCAAATAGCGTTTTCATCCTATTTTCATAGGACCCAGGTCTCTGAGGCATATGTTAATGCAGGAAGAACAATAGAATTGAAGAGATGTGCCCAGAGCTAGAGGTTCTTCATCCTCGTAGCTATTTCAACACTTTTGAAGGAGTTCCAAGCTGCTCTCTTCCTCCTGTGCAACTCAGGTGCCAGGTCATTTGTCATGTTTACTTCTTGACCTAGGTACATGTAATTGTTGAAATCAGAGATGTTCATTCCATTCAAAGTGAATGGAATGTCAGGAACGAGTCCGTTTCTCATAAATATTATCTTTGTGAGATTCAGCTGTAGTCCTACCTTTCCACTCACCGTCAAAGTTGACCAGCATTTGTGTCGCTTGGCTAATGTTTGGTGTTATTAGAACAATGTCATCAGCAAAGCAGAGGTGGTGTAGTAGCCGACTGTCTATTGTCACTCCCATTCCTTCTCATTCCATTTGTCACATGATGTTCTTGAGGGTGGCACCGAAGAGTTTTGGTGAAATGGTATCACCCTGCCGAACCCCTCTCTTGACATGGATGATCACATCCTTGTAGAATGGTGAGATCCTGGTAGTGAATCCATAATAGAGCTCCAGAGGATCCTGATGTATTGAGTTTGAGTGCCCTGTTTGGCTAGGGCTTTGATGACCACTTCAATCTCAACAGAACAAAAGACCTTCTTTAAATCAACGAATGTTAGACAGAGCAGCATCTTGAACTCCCGAGAAACCTCAGTGAGCTTGGATACAGCGTGGATATGGTTGATCATGCTGAATCCTTTTAGGAACCTGGCACGCTCACATGGTTGTCCTTCATCTAGTGTTCTGCCAATCCTATTCAGGATGGCTTGTAGAGGACAGACAATAGGCAGATCCGGCGATAGTTGCCAGTGTCGTGGACATCTCCCTTCTTGTACAGTAGAGTAGTCCTGCTGGTTTTCCATTGGGATGGAACCTTGCATTCAGACAGATAGCGTGTGAAGAGCCAAGCCCGTGTACTGATGAGTACTGACAGCAGGTTCTTCAGGTATTCAGGTCTGACCTTGTCTGTGCCAGGCAGGTGTTGTTCGCTTCTTTACTGATGAAATGGCGTGTTGGATTTCAGAAGGGAAAATGTTGGGAATGACATATGCATCCTGCGGAATTTGGCTTGTGGGCAAGTGGACATGGCTATCGAAGAGATCCGAGTAGAAGTCATGGATAATCTTCTCCATTGCCCTTCTGTAAAATGTGATAGATCCATCAGGACATTGGAGGGCAGTCATCCTGGTCTTGTTGTTGGTGAAGAACAGGCAAGCATTGCAAATGATTTTCCCAGCTTCTGCCATATTTGCCAGCACTGTTGCTCTTCTCTTTTTGAGGTCTTCCTTTATCACTTCTCTGAAGTGATTTGCGAGCTCATACATAAGCTTGTGATTGCCTGAGGATTGCTCCATAACAGTTGATGAATAAGCTTGAGAGTTTTTGAAGACAGGTCTCTGTGGCTTTCTCTCTCTTGGTGTTCCTAGCATAGTCATGGAGGTGTTGAACCAGTCAATCATATTCTTTGCCAATGTTGTTAACGATGTCATCTTCCCATGTTTCCAAAATAGTACCAAAGAGCTCCCAGTTAGCTGTTGTTCTGGGAGTTCTCTTCTTAAACTTTGCAGCCCTTTCTCCCCGCTCCATAAAGTAGAATCTTGCATGAAGGGGACGGTGGTCCGATCCCATTTGAAATTTTGGGAGAACAGTGACATCGGTCAGGCAAAACTGTCGACTGAATATGATGTGGTCAATTTCGTTGTGGAACTGTCCACGGGGAGACTCCAATGTCCAACATTTAGATTCGGTCTTCTGAAACTGTGAGTTACCATGGATGGTCTTGGTCAACATGATGAACTCAGACAGTCTCTCACCCTGTCTGTTCCATTCTAGGTCATGGGTCCTGATGTGGAGTTCTTTAGCTGATCTTCTCGGTCCTATCTTGGCATTAAAATCACCAACAATGATCTTATAGAAGGCGTGGTCTTCTTTATATAACTTCTCCAGCTCCATGTAGAACTTGTCAATTTCTCCTTCATCATAGTTAGATGTTGGTGCGTAGACAACGAAGATAGAAACTGCCGGCACTGAGCCATGTCCATCTGCTGACATACCGAATTCCACAGGATGGATATGTCATCTCAATGTTCTCCCTTCCAAAATCCGACACGCAATTTGTCAGTAAGGAAATGAACAGCACCCAGCCCAGACAAGGTCAGACCTGAAAACCTGACGAACCTGCCATCAGTACTCATCAATACACTGGCTCGGCTCTTCACACGCTACCTGTGTAAGGTTCCATCCCAATGGAAAACCAGCAGGACTGTACTACTGTACAAGAAGGGAGACATCCATGACATTGCAACTACAGCCGATCTGCCTATTGTTTGTCATCTACAAGTTGTTCACTCGAATCATCCTGAATAGTTATGTGTACATATGTTGCAAATTCAACATGATGAATAGCCTGGCACCTGAGTTGCACAGGAGGAAGAGAGAGAGTGGCTTGGAAGTGGCTTGGCCTTCAAGAGTGTCGAAGAAATAGCTAAGAGGATGAAGAACCTCTGGTTCTGGGCACATCTCTTCAATTCCAGTGTTCTTCCTTCATAAACATATGCCTCAGAGACCTGGGCCCTACGAAAACAGGATGAGAACACTATTCATGTCTCCCAAAGAGGAATTGAAAGAGCTATGCTTGGAGTATCATGCTTCACTCAAGTGAGAGAACGAATCCAGAGTTCTGACCTCTGTTGACCATAGAGAATAGGGACGATGTCTCATTTGCCAAGGCATCAAAAATCAGATGGGCTCGACACGTAATGCGATTTGGAGACAACTGCTGGCCTAGAGCCATTACCGACTGGATTCCACGGGATATCAAAAGATCGCGTGGCAATCTACCTATGAGATGGTCAGACTTTTTCGTCAAGACCCTCAGCGATCAGTTTGAGGCTCTTCATGTTCCTGGAGCGAACAGATGCCATTGGGCTGCATCAGCACATGACAGGGAGGAATGGAGACGTTACTGGTGCCCGCTCGAACAAATTGGTGAGTAACAGGATGTCAAGTTATTAGGTGATCAAGTGTAAGCATATGAAGTGCTGAAAGAAATTTGAAAGTTCTTACAGAACTTCTCTTGTCTCAAAAAATCCAGTACAAATGCCACCCAAGACCATCTTCTTTGGCAATGCTGAAAATGTATTGTTTATTATGATGGACCCTTTGGCATTATTTGTGTTGACAAAATGTAACCCTGCTTTGAAATAAACTCACTTGTATAATCACATAATTGATCAAAATATACAGGTCAAAGGCTTAAAAATCAAAGTAGCTATCTAATAAATTAAGGCTAACCTAGTCTTGTATCCAAGAAAGATAGAAGAGTTTGGTTTCCAACAAGAAAGGACAGCCCCACCATTCAATTTGTCAATAAGCCTGCTTAAGTTATACATCATCATGCTACTCTTTGGATAAATTAGTAGCCGTGCCTTGCATTACATTAGTAATAGACACCTAATAATTAGGCATGTAAATCAACTCACATGTACTCCTATCAGCTCCTATCCTATTATTTCTGGTGACGAATTATTCTACCAAGATACAAAGTTAAAACTCAGCTTAATAGTGCAAACAGATTCTCTTACCTGAGGAAATAAGTAAGCACAAGCTCTCCAGCTTCACATACTGGACGGTCACAAACAAAGGCGTGATTCCAAAGTCATCCTGACATTCCATGTTGGCTCCTTTTTTAAGAAGCAATTTTACCATATCAGTATTTTCCTAAAATGCAGATTCATGTTTTAAATAATATAAAACAAAGAATCCAGAAACTACCTCTCTTCTTATTGTTTCTTATAGCACAGCGGTAGGGCGTTTGCCTTGCACGCAGCCAACATGGCCGACCCGAGTTCGATTCCTCCGCCCCTCTTGGAGAGCCCGGCAAGCTACCGAGACAGTATTTAGTCCACACGGCAGAGCCTGGCAAGCTACCCATGATGTATTCAATATGCCAAACACAGTAACAACAAAGTCTCCAATGGAAACGTTACTGGGCCTGCTCAAGCAAATCGATGAATAAATCTTCACTAAAGAAAAACTTTTTTTAAAAAACCTTATTGGTGGATGGAAATAGGTACTAATCAGATCATCTACAACTTTGCCTAGACTATCAAACAAACAGATGGAACCCTGATTTCAGAAATTACAAACTTTATAAAAATTCTATAAAATCAGCTGCTACAGGGGCCGCAGTGATATATTACAACGTGTAGGACTTGCATGTAGGCAACCTAGGTTTGATCCCCAGCACCCTATATGGTCCCCTGAGCCTGCCAAAGGTGACTCTGGCACACAGTCAAAAGTAAGTCCTGAGACCCACTGGGTGTGCCCCCCCACACACACACCCCTACCTCCCAAAACAATAGAAAAACAATAATTAGCTTACTAGCCTGAGTTCCAAGGAGTTATGATAGTTTCTAAACATACTAATTTAAATAGGAGTCACCGTTCTTTACCAATTTATATCCCAAATATTCTGATGGTCTCTTAACTATGTTATCAACATTTGAATAACCCAGATTATCCATCCCTGTAGCACAAAACAGCTAGAACTACTAGAGCAGTTGGCTTACTCTGAATCATCATTAGCATTTAGACTGCCTGTTCTTTACTGCACTAACCATCATAAATCACAGGCAAGTAGGAAGCAAAAACTGAATAGAACTGTCATTTTAAAAGGGTAAAACACACAATTTACATGGAAATGAAATAATAAATTTAGAGGTTACCTGAAAAGTAGCCTGGTGCAAAGCATTCCATCCACACATTGAATGGGATCCATTAACATTTGCTCCACCTCTAAGCAACAGCTTTAACACATCTATCTGTCCACTTTCAACAGCTGCAATACAGCAGTCAAAAAAATTGCTGTCAGTAAAAATGCATGTTTGTAGGCATGAGCACTTTGGATATATTCTCACCACTTACTCACCCCAGAACTAGCAATGCTGTGCGCATTCCTACTAACAAAACAAAATCCTGTGGCAACACCAAAGACACTGATTACAATGGTCTAAGCACAAACCAATTAACATCTCCATCTCTTCTGGGCACATACAAATTATTTTCAACCCAATTTTAAAAAGTACAAGGAAACAGAAGTAAGAGGCAAACATTTATTCTCTCTGATAAGAGAGAGTATGTTTCTTTTCTGTTCAAAGGCCCAAAGATTTATTATCATTACTATTTGATCATAAATGACATGGTCACTAACAAAATAGAAGGGAAATACTGCAAGTTCTGTGTCTTAGTTTATTTTTACCGTCATAAATAGCAGCTGCTAAAATTTTCTTCTATCAATTAAATTATCGTAAAATTTTGCTCACATAAACAACAAAGGTTGAATCAATGCAATTAGCTTCCATAACTGAAAATAATGACTCTCTCATACACTGCTGCTAGAGCAGATCCTCTAAAGGTATTTTACATACCCACACTTTAAAACTCATATGCCCTTTTACTATTTGTACTATTTGTACCAATCAAATTCTTTTTCCTTATATATTCTAACTTAACTTTACCACAAGATATCTGAATTCTAACATGATGCATATATAACAATTTGCAAATCCTACCTAGTAAGGTTAGAATGTTTAAACTCATACAAGCAAATGGAGTTAAATTTTCCAGAGTATTTCCTACCACAAAACTTTGCTATGAAAGTGTCAGTAATTTTTTAGTTTAGGCACAGAATGAAAAAGATAAAACAGAACTAAGTAGAGCTTAGTAAGTATGCACACAAACTATTAGAACTGTACATTTGAGAAAACATCAGTATCTTTAAGGAAGGAGTGCAGACATGTGTATGAACTTCATGTGCTTGGCTATGGGGCAAGAAGATTTGAAACACAAATACAAATTTCTATTTCACTTCAAGCATACAAATGTTTTCCACAGTAGGAGGTAATAAGTAAGAATGTTACCTTGTTAAATGCAGTTAAGCTAGCAGAACAAGAAGTACAAACACAGGATGATCTCACTTATATGTGTATAGACTAACTGGAGAGGGAATGCAATGTTTGAAGGGGAATGCCTAGATCATTGACGCCAGAGTATATAGAGAAGGGGTGAGAAGGAAAGAAATTCAGGGAGGAAGAAAAGACAGAGAGAAAGCAACAGGAAGTAGGGGGGCAGGAGTCTGAACACAGGTGGTGTAAAGGAGCCGTGCAGCTAAATATCCAGACTCATAGTTAGAGACTTGAAAACAAAAGACGCAGACTTCAACAACCAAAGTTAAAAATGTGCCTATCTGGGTGGCTGGCTGAGGTGGGGGTGGGGGTAAGGGTGGGTGATGGTGGGGCCTTGGGAACCCTGGTGGAGGGAAGAAGACACTGGGAGTGGGATGGGTGCTGGAACAAAATATGTCTAAAACCCAACTATGAATAGCTTTGTAAATCATGGGCCTTGAATCTGTAATGAAAACTTTTTTTAAAAACAACAGCTCTTAAAAAGGCATGTGCTGGAGAAATAGTTCAACAAGCTGAGGAAAAGCTCTGCATGCAGAAAGCCCAGGTTTGATACCAACACCCTCGGGCACCCTGAGCACCGGTAGAAGTGACCCCCCAAACACAGAGACAGAATCAATCTCTGAGTACAGCTGAATATGACCCAAACCAAACAAAACATTGAAAGACACAGAGACTTGAATTAGGACTAAACCTGAAAAATGTTAATTCATGAATAAAAAACTGGGAAGATTAAAAATCCTAAAAAGTATAAAACAAGATGGATGTATTTATTATTGTTGTTGGGCAACAGGACCATGATATTGATTTCATTTACTGAACTTATACCAAATCTTGGGCTGGAGCGACAGCACAGTGGTAGGGCATTTGCCTTGTACGCAGCCAGCCTGGCCGAGCGGGGTTCGATTCCTCCATCCCTCTCAGAGAGCCCGGCAAGCTACCGAGAGTATCTCACCCACACGGGAAAGCCTGCAAGCTCCCCGTGACATATTAAATATGCCAAACACAGTAACAACAAAATGGAGATGTTACTGGCCCGCTTGAGCAAATCGATGAACAACGGGAGGACAGTGTGACAATGTATACCAAATCTTGCTTCCCCCATAAATATAGGGAGATTCGGAACAGAAAAACATTCATTCAAAACAATGTTTGCACAACATTACTCACTGCAGTACTCAGTAAAATAGCTAAGATTTGGAATCAACCTAGATGGCCAAAGACAGATTAGTGGATTATGAAGATGTGGTATAGATACACAACAGAAAGCTACACAGGTGTAAGTAATGATGAAATCATGCAATTCACAGCAACATGTAGAACTGGAAGATATCATGCTATATGAAGTCAATCAGAAGAAGAATAAACACAGACTAATATCACTCATATGTGGTATTAAGAACAACCAGATATGGGAAGCAATGTTTTAGGTAGCCCAGGTCAATCTTGGCCCCAGAGTATAGGGAGGGGGAGAAGAGACAGGTGAGAAGGTCAGTTCAGGGCTTTCAAATAACACCGCTGATGGTATTAAGGAATGAAAAAACCACAGAGCCAACAACACTGAAATCAAGAGACCCAAACTTTAACAACCAAACTTAGAAAGATCCTGTCCAAAGGGCAGACTGGAGGGGTAAGAGGGAGATGGGAGGGAACCAGGAACATTGACAGAGGGAGTGTTACTTAGGAGTGTTACTTAGCTCGGAAATACTTTTGTTATTTCCTTGGTAAAGTGATTCTTAATTTAGGAATAGGGTATGTTAAACTGTATAGTGGTAATCCGGTGGGGAATCTGTGCTGCAATACTGTACGTCCAAAACTCAGCTATGAGTAGCTTTTTAAATCTCAGTGCAGTGCTTTAATTAAAAATATTTTAAAACTAAAACGAAGTTTTAAAAAATAGGGAGACTGCTCAAAAGGCTGGAGCACAAGTTCTGCATGTAGGAGCTTCAAATTCTAGCCAAACACTGCAGAGAGCAACACACACATACACACACACAAACACACATGCACACACAGTCAGAAATTCTTTCATCAAAAATATTCTTGTGGGAGGTTTCATAAATTCAACCGTGAGACAGTACCACTATAAAGTTTAACATACCTTATTTCTAAGTTAAGAATCACTTTACCAGCAAATAACTAAAGTATTTCCAAGCTAAGTAACACTCCTAAGAAACAATCTAAAGTCAATCTAGTTTTGGGTGGAAGTATGACAGAAAAAGAAAATCTGTTTCAAATCTAATTCATACATCATTACATCATTATCAGTGATTGCTGGCAAAACTCCTTCTATAACCAGATCCTGTTAAAAGATTACCAGATTGCTGGGGGCCAGAGCAATAGTACAGCGGGTAGGGTGTTTGCCTTGCATGCAGCCGACCCGGGTTCGATCCCTGGCATCCTATATGGTCCCCCAAGCACCTCCAGGAGTAATTACAGAAAAAAAAATTACCAGATTGCTAACTTGATATATGAAGCTGAATGAAGATAAGTTTGTTATTCAAGAATTCGACTGACCTTACAAAACTGAAAGTTGGAAAAATTTTGTTCAGATCATTAAATACACTATAAAAGTCAGACAAGAGAAAAATTGCTTTTATTTTTTAATATCATACATAAATTATCTGATTTCTACATCTCTAGTGAAAACATTTCCCAATTATAAAAAACTGAAACCAACACATGAGCAGATAAATAGCATTTTATTGCTATTTCTAATTATTTCAGGGTGATTATTAGCCATTAAATCTGCTTTGAAAAATTAATGGCTCAGAAAAGTGTATTTAAAGCTATCTTTAAAGTGTATTTAAAATATCTCCTTTGAAAAAGTTAGATTAACTTCTTGTGTTTATATAACAAATTAACAAAATAAAGGTGGGAAAACCATACCCACATATTATTTATTATGGATAACTAAAAAATATTTATAGAGAAAATAAAAATTAGACTTGACTTCCTATCTATTGGTCTCCTTAGGCACTATGAAAATGTGCTCTTAGGATGCGGGTGAATTCTCTGGAACACAGGCTTTGCAAGCTAGAGCCCAAAGACCAAGCCCTGACACCACAAGGCTTCCCCAGCCACTACTGGAAGAAGTTCCTGAGCACAGAGACAGGAACAGTCACTGAGCACCACAACGTGTGGCCCCAAAACATCCTCTGCTTGCTTGTAGACCCCATGTCAACTGAGACTAAGGTGATAAATGACTGGTTTCTCCCCATGTATATTTTTGGGATTTTGGGATCACACATGACAGGATGCAAGGGTTACTCCTAACTTTGTGCTCAGAGGTCACTTCTGGAAGTGCTTGGGAGAACCATAAGCAGGGCTGGGGCTAGAATCTTAATCAACGACATAGAAGGCAAACACTTTACCTCTGTATTATCTCTCAGGCCAGTAACAAATAATAGATTGGACAATTTTTTTAAATAATAACTAAAAAATGTATTTTTCAAGACTAATGAGACAGTTGAAAGTAATAAAGTACTGTGTCACATGGAGAAGCCCTAGGTTCAATCACTAGCACTGCATGGTTTTGAGCACTGCCAGGAGTGACCCCCTAGAAATTCACCAGCAGTAGCCCCCAAGTTGCGATGGATACATTCTGAAACAAAATAAAAAGGTAGCAATATTTGTCTCTCCTAAAAAATATGTTTCCTTTTCAAACTGACTAGGCTTTGAAATTAGACTGCAGGATATGACAATATAATGTTATTTAAACAGTCATTCTGCATAAACTATCTTAAGAATGACAAAATATATCAGGGAACTTTTATTGGTATTAAACAACAGACAGAAGACCAATTCTTGTGAAAAGAGCAACACTTGAGGTTTCCCTACTATCCACACAGCTACATTTATTTTTTTATTGTAGTAA